GAGTCCGATAAAAAAAAGGGGGCGGCCCCCCCCGCTTGGGGCCCCATTTACCGGAAAATGAGATGGCCCCCCATTTCAACGGTTTTTATTTTGGAGAGGGGAAAGCCCTCCTTACAGCCGGCTGTGGGCAGGGGAAGATTTAGGCCCCCCCGGACGGGCCGTTGCCCCCCCCCCCCCAAAAGGCATCATGTACCTCAAGTGGTACCTCGAGGAGGAGTACAAGAACAAGATGGCGCGCCGCGCCGGCGCCTCCTCCTCCTCCGCCGAGGCGCCGCCGCCGGTCGACGACCCAAAGTTCCGCTTGATGGAGACCAAGGAGGTCAAGGCGCCGCGGCAGCACAACCACTCCGACTGCGGCCTGTACATGCTCCAGTTCATCGAGAAGCTCGCCAAGCACGCCTCCGCCCTCAAGCCGCCGCTCGAGAACACGCCCCACCCGTCGTGGTCCGCCTACGAGGAGCTCCGCTTCGGCAAGGAGGAGGTCCGCCAGATGCGGCGGGACATGAAGTGCGACATCCAGCTCCTCGGCGAGCAGCAGGCGGGCGGCGCCTGATCGCGGCTCTTGCGGCCACGCCCCGCCGCCCCGCCGCCCCGCCGCTGCTCCAAAGGATGGAGAGGGCAGGGGCAGGGGTGGCAGCGGCGGCAGGGGCGGCAGGTAATGTACACGCTCCAAGGAGGGGGCGCGCTGGCGTGGGCTCGGCCGTGCGGTCTGCGCCGCCGAACCGCGTGCCGATGTGGCGCGAGAGAGACCAGCTTTGTTGTTACGTTGGGCGAGTTGTCAGTTTGGTACGTGACGTGTGGAAGTCGGAGCAGAGTGTGAGAGTGAGAGAGTGCAGTGTGCCGCGTAGCCCGTGGCTCGCTCACATGTCGAACTCCGGGAGAGGAAAAACGCTTCGTCAAATCTCACTCAAATCCGAGCATTGCTCCGCCCAGAACCGCGCGGCGCCCAGTGTGTCTCTCCGAACGCCGGCGTGTGAGGTGTGTTTGTCTCCTCCCCCCCATAGAATCGAGCATATCCGCTCCGGCGGCCTTCCGAGCGCGCGAGCTGGCCACGACACGCCCGCCCCTCCCCTATGCATGAGCCCCTCAGACACCGCGCCGCCTCACCGCGCCGCCGCCATCGACGGAGGCGACCTCGCCACCCGCAGCGCCGGCCGGCCTGGCTTGCTGCTGCTCGCCGCGCTGCTGCCCCGGGAGGCTCGCCGCCCAACAGGCAGCTCCGGAGGCTCGTCGATGAGCCACGCTGCCTCCTCCTCCGCCGCCTCCGCCGCCTCCGCCGCCTCCGCCGCCTCCGCCGCCTTTTCCGCCGCCGCCGCCTCCGCCGCTGCCGCCGCCTCCGCCACCTCCGCAGCCGCCTCCACCGCCTCCCCCCCCTCGGCCTCGGACGCGGTTTTGAAGATGTTCCCCGGCCACTCCTCGTACGGCTGGCGAGGGGGGTGGTGCTCGTGCACCTCCCCATTCACCTGCGAATCACCACTCGAGATCGCTCGAGATCACACCCGAGATCGCTCGAGACCACCCGAGATCGCTCGAGATCACACCCGAGATCGCTCGAGACCACCCGAGATCGCTCGAGATCACACCCGAGATCGCTCGAGACCACCCAAGGGGCCGGCCGAGGTTGAGGATGTGCTCGACGGGGCCGCGCCAAACGCATCTCCGCGCGCAGATGTGGCCGAGGTATGGCCGAGACTCAGCCGAGATTCGCCGAGGCTGGCCTGCATCTCGACGCGCAGAAAGTCGCGTGCGCACGTGACCGGGCCACCGTAGTGCTGCTTCGCGAGGTTGCGGATCTCGTTCATCACTCCGTCCGCGTACCTATAGCCACCAGCCACTCCTCCTTCGTGATGAGTTGCTGGACACGGACCCCGTCCACCACTCCCGCTCGCGCACGCGCTGCCCGAGCCCAGGTAGCGCGACGAGAAGTGGGTGAGCACGAGCCGCTTGGCGCCTAGAGGATGCAGTCATGGCATGTCAATCATTGATACGTAAAAAATGTCACATGCGATGTCAATCAGGACATCTCGGAGGCATCTCGGCTATCTCTCGCCGATCTCGGACGCGAACTGCGCCGCCATCTGCGGCGTCGAGTGGCCGTGCTCGACGGCCAACCTGCGGATGGTGTCCGGGCCGCGCCCGCGCTGCCGGTCGAAGTTTGTGCACGCGTTTGTGCACTCGTGGACCAGCACGTCCACCTAGAGACATGCCCAGGACGGGTGTGCCGGACGTGTCTTGCGGACGCAGTGGCGAGGAGCAGCGCGTCCACCTAGAGACACGCCGCACGTCTCGGCTCCACTCGTGACGCACTTGAACCAGCGCTCGTGAGTCCAGCACAGCGACCCCTTCGCAGTGCGCCGCCGCGCGAGAGCAGTCGCGCGTGTCGCTGAGCAGGCCTGCCATCGTACACTCTCATCGTTGGACAGATACCTCATTGTGCCCGCCGCGCTGCGTCGCAGAGCTGGCCGATCCGGCGAGAGGTGGGAGGGTCCATGAAGTCGGACGGCTGCAGCAGCTCGCCCGTCGGCAGCTCGATCGGCGTCCCGAGCTTGAAGTTGCCGAGCAGCCGCTTCTCCACCCCGTGCGCCTCGAGGAGCGGGAGCAGTCTGTCGGCGTGCAGCGAGCCTGGGCCGGGGGAGATAGGGGGAGATAGGGGGAGATGTGGGGAGATATGGGTGTGAGGCACTCGTCCATCGCTTCGCTCTCGAGGCCGGCAAGGAGCCTTCGGGTACACCTCGAGCAGAATGATACAATGTCAGATGCTATGATACGGTGTGATGTGCGGCGCGCCTGGCCGCGGGTACTCCTCGAGCAGCCAGCCGACCGTCGGGACGGTGTGGTCCATCTCGACTGCCCGGATGCGCATCTTTGGCGCGCGTGGCGCCGCGCGGCCCCCGTGCGCCGTCGGGTGGGGCACGGACCACGCCCCGTCCTCCTCCGGCCAGAGCGGCGGCGCGAGCACCTCCCGTGGAGCGGAAGCACGCAATGAGTTACTCAACAGTGATTAATGAATGAACGAGTTCACAAGAGCACCTCCCCGTGGAGCGGAGGCACGCCCGACAGGACGGCGGGCACGTGCTTCGGCTGCTGCAGCGCCTCGAGCCCGTGGAGCTCGTGCACCTGCACCACGGGGAGGTGCTCTTGAGAATTGAGTGACTCACTCATTCCTTCTTGTTGATGAGCTAACCGCGGGTGCGCCTGCAGCCGCAGCCGGCCGAGCCCCACGTACGAGTTTGCGAGCACCTGCAGGCCGCTGCCGAGGAGGGTCGAGGGGAGGCTCCCCCTCCTCCCCCGGCCGGCGGGGCGAGATGGCGGGCGCCGTGCGGAGCCAGGCGCGGAGGCCGACTGGCCCGACGAGCTGCAGCGGAACCTTCTCCCACCGCCGCACGTCCGCCGACGCAGACACCTGCCGAGCTTGGAGCGAGGGGTTGGAGGGGTTGGAGCGAGGGCTTGGCGAGGGGTTGGAGCGAGGGGTTGGAGGGGTTGGAGCGAGGGCTTGGAGCGAGGGACGGGTGAGAGGCGGCCGAGGCCGTCGCCGCAGCGGAGGCTGTCTACATCTGCTCGACCTGCTGCATCGACGAGTTTGCGCACATGGCGATCACGGCCGGCAGCCCGAAGACGTGGTCCCCGTGCATGTGCGAGATGAAGATGCGCGTCACCGACAGCGGCGCGATGCCGGCGCGCAGCATCTGCATCTGCGTCTGCCCGCCGCAGTCAAAGAGCCACGTCTCGTTCTGCACGCGCAGCGCGACGGACTGCTGCGCGCGCGAGGTCGTCGCCTGCGCGCTCGCCGTGCCGAGGAACACCAGGTTGAGCTCGCCAATGTCCTGGTTGTTGATTGGCCTTTCCCGGTGCGGAAGCTTCTGCGAGGCGCGCAGCTTGTCGGCGGTCCGGCGGTCGCCTCCTCGCCGGAACGGCTGAGGCGCCGGAGGCGCGCTGCCACGCCGGCGGCCGCTGTGCGCGCAGCGGAATGCGGAGCGGAACGGCAGAGCACAGCGGGCGTGGAACGGCAGAGCACAGCGGGCGCGAAGAAGCAGCATGCTGGCGCCAGGCATTGAGAGGGTGTTTTTCTTTTTCTTACTTCCTTTCAGATCCGACCAATCCCTCTCACCTGGCAACCCTGTCTGCACGTCTCGCGCGCGCGTGAACAGGGCTTAAGTGCACAAAAAACACGTGGTCGCACACAACCCTCCCAACGGCATGCCTCTCTCTGCCTCTCGCAACAACAAAACAACAACGTGTGAGTGTTAGAGTTGTTTGGTATTGCTAAAAAGCCTCTCGCCTGCATGCTGCCGTGGCCGGGCACTTGGAGCACTTGAAGTGCAGTCGGCAGCCTCACATCCAGGGCCGAAGAGCTAAGAAGCGGAGTTTTTTTCTTTTTCTCTTTCTTAGACGCATTTTATATTTGTGAGCTAGCCTTCGTTGTTAATAGGAAACAAGAAAGGGACACAGCACACACATGCACACCGCACCGCACACCGCGCCAGCGTGGCCGGGATGTTGTTTTTCTTCTTTTATTGATTCCCGTTTTGTCGTTGGTCCACTAGGTTTCGCCTTCCCATCATCAATTTCCGTCCGAGCGCGCCTCCTTCCTTGGCCTGGCGCTTGTAAGGTCAACGGTCAGATCACGGCTGGTCTTTCTCTCTCTCTCTCTTGGCGTTTGTGCCCCGTCCGTCCGTGCGTTTGTGCCACGTCGTGTCCTCGCGTGTTCCCCCGTTCATTTTTAGGCTAAGTATGAAAAAAATCGCGGATTTCACGAGCACGGAAGCGTGACAGTAAAGTGCACCTCAGTGCAGGGCCAACACATCAAATCGCATCGCCTCTTGATGGCCATGATGCTCGCTGTGCCGACGCTCTCCTTTGGCACACAACAGACCAAGTACCCTCTGGAGATCATCAACTGCGGCGTGAAGCAGACCTTCACCAAGCCGCCCGAACGGGCCGTGGTGAGCCAACGCACCGCACTGCCGTTCCCGACGCCCAACGCGCTCTTGCCTTGCCTGCGACCCTCACCACCGCCACCCTCGTCGCCGCCAGACGATGAACCAGGGCATGACCGAGTTCCTGCTCGCGATGGGCCTCGAGGGCTCGATGGCGGGCACCGCCTACATCGACGACGAGATCTGGCCGCGGTACGAGAAAGCGTACAAGAAGGTCAAGGTGCTCGCCGAAAAGTATGCGACCGACGCCCAGCTCATGGAGGTGGACGCCGACTTCATCACGGCCAACTACGGCAGCGCCTTCTCGGAGAAGCCGCGGCGTCGCTCGGGCTCGGACAGCGGCGTCTTCACCAACAAGACGGTCGGTCCGTGCGACGGCGAGGGCTCCGACTACTTCGCGATCTACGGCACGACCAACGCGACCAACATGGCCGGCCCGTACGGCACCTGCCGCCCGCAGCTGCACGAAGCGAACATCGGCACGTGGCTCGAGACCACCTACTGCGAGGACAAGGGCCTGCGGCCGGAGGTGGCGACCGAGCAGACCGTCTACGACGCGATCAAAGAGATCGGCGCCATTTTCAACGTCAACGATGTGGCGAAGATGCTGATCGATCAGATCGAGGCAGACTTCGACGCCGCGCAGACAGCGGTGAAGAATACGGGGCACGCGCTGACCGCGATCCTGCTCGACGGCATCGGGTGCGGGGATGACGGGAAGGGCTACTTCGTCGGAGCGGGCGAGGGCTCTGTCAACATGATCCTCGAGTCGGCGGGGATGACCAACCTGTTCGGCGTTAAGGACTCCGAGTCCTTTAAGGAGGACAGCTACGCGTGCGTCACGGCGGACGAGATCATCGCGCTCAACCCCGACGTGCTCTTGCTCATCGAGGCGGATTGGGACAAGGCGCTCAACAAGATCAACCACCTGCACAACAGCTCCGCCTGGTGCGCCGCCCCGTTCGTCCAGAGGGCCGACTACATCAAGATCCCCTTCTCCGCGTCGGCGCTCAGCCCGCGCAACGGCGCCGCCGCCGTCGACCTCGTCTCTGTTTCGACCCACCTTCTCACCGGCGCCACGACGATCAACCTCAAGTCGGGCGTCACCGCCTTCGACCCCAAGATGCTGGTCAACCAGACGGCGAAGCTGCTCTGCCCGCTCTCCCTGACGGACATGAAGTACTCGGGCGTCTCGGCGCCCACGGACGATTCGGATGACCTCCCCGCGTGGGCCATCGCCCTGATCGCCGTCTTCTGCTCGCTGTTCGTCCTCGTCCTCGCCGGCGCGTGCTACATGTTCGCTCGCGAGAAGCAGGGCAAGCCCATCTTCACCGAGGTCACCTCCGAGGTCGCGAAGGCGTGAGGATGTCAAGAGGAGCCCGCGGCCTTTTGGCTGCGGGGCGAGTCGCGCAGGCGCGGGGAACAAGAGCCCCGGCCCCCCCGCGTCTGCTGCGGGGGTATGAGATTTCCTCTTCCTTGGGGTGAGTGAGTCGCGCAGGCCGCCAACTGGGGAGGGCGGGGCATCGTTGGTGCATCGTACGGCCGCGGGGAAGACGTAAGAGGAAGAGAGAACGCGGATGAATGGGTAACGCAGGAGCGGTGGGTGGTGTCATTGCCCCCTTTTCTGTAGCATGATACCCGACCCAGGCCTGGTCCCGAATCCATCCTGGTTGGCGGTGCATGGCGTCCGCCGCCCGCAAGCGCGCCCGCACCGGCGGCGGCGACGAGGGGGACCTTGCCGTGCCGGTCGCGGATGGCTTCGAGGCGCCCATCTTTGGCGCGCGCATCGTCGGTCAGGTCACCACGCTGACGCTCGAGGGCGAGGACGGCCCTCTATCGCTCGGGACGGTTGGCGTCGCGAGCGACCACGCGGGCGCCTGGTACGTCTCGACGAAGGACTCGCTGCTGCACGTCTCGGCGGCCAGGCGCGTGCGACGCGTAGCAGCCTTGCCGGCAAGTGACGAGTACTACTACACCGCTGCCGCCAGCCCCAACGGGAGCGCGCTGTTTGTGGCGGACTGCGAGAACCACAAGATCCGGCGCGTGGAGGTGGCGACTGGCGAGGTGACGACGGTCGCGGGCAGCGGCGAGAATGGCGACGCGGATGGCGTGGGCGAAGCGGCGCAGTTCAGCTACCCAACTGGCATCGCCATCAGCCCGGACGGGAGCGCGCTATTTGCGGCGGACTGCTGCAACTACAAGATCCGGCGGGTGGATGTGGCGACTGGCGCGGTGACGACGATCGCGGGCAGTGGCACTTGGGGCAGCGCCGATGGAGTCGGCGACGCGGCGGAGTTCCACGGCCCACGTAGCATCGCCATCAGCCGAGACGGCGGCGCGCTGTTTGTGGCAGACCAAGGCCACGGTAAGATCCGGCGGGTGGAGGTGGCGACTGGCGCGGTGACCACGCTCGCAGGCAGTGGCACTTGGGGCAGCGCCGATGGAGTCGGCGACGCGGCGGAGTTCTACTGCCCACGTGGCATCGCCCTCAGCCCAGATGGTGGCGCGCTGTTTGTGGCGGACAACGGCAACCACAAGATCCGGCGGGTGGAGGTGGCGACTGGCGAGGTGACGACGCTCGCGGGCAGCGGCGAGGCTGGCAGCGTCGATGGCGTGGGCGAGGCAGCGCAGTTTACCAACCCAAAGGAAGTCGCCATCAGCCCCGACGGCAGCACGCTGTTGGTCAGTTCGAGAGGCGGCCTCCGCCAGGTCTGCGTGGCTGCGCCTCCTCCGCCTCCCTCCTTTGCCCCGATCGTCGTTCCGCCTTCGACCATCCTGGCCGACCTCGCAAAGACGCGGGGAGACGCCACCCTCCCAGAGGGGAAGGTCACCTTCCTGGTCGGCGACGATCGGGAGCGCATCGAGCACGTGAGCAAGTGCGTGCTCTGCATTCGGTCCGGGTACTATCGGACCATGTTTGGCATCGGCATGAAGGAGCGCGACGCCGCCGAGGTCACGGTGTCCCACACCGACCCCGCCAGCTTCACCGCCCTCATCGACTACCTCCTCTCCGACAAGTTCGACCTCGGCGAGGAGGAGGGCAGGGCGCAGCGCGCGCTCGACCTGCGGGAGCTGGCGCAGATGTACCAGGTGCCGCGCCTCGAGCTGCTCTGCGCGCAGGCGCTGCAGGAGAGCGTCGCGCCGGCGACCGCCGTGCCGCTGCTCGAGGCGGCGCACACGATGGGCGACGGGCGGCTCCTCGCGCAGTGCCGCCGCTACGTGGCCGACCACGCCGCCGAGGTGCGGGCGAGCGGCGGCGTGGAGCAGCTGCGTGACTTTGGCGTGGCCAAGGGGCTGCTCGGCGACGCGCTCGACCAGGTGGCGGAGCTGAAGGGCGCGATGCGCGAGGCGGACCTCGAGAAGGCCCGGGCGGAGCGGGCATGAGTGAGGGGCAGCGCCCCCCCGCCTGCTCGCTCGCTGCTTGGGCCTTGGCACCAGTGAGAGCTGAGTGACGTTGCGGCACAGTGAGAGCGCAGCGCGCCGTGCACAGGGAGCAGCTCCTGCGACACCCTTGATTTCTCGGGAACGTAAGAGGGGCACGGAAAGGTAGGTGGGTAGGAAGGTCACTGATACCCACCTTGCTCTGGACCCGAATCCAGCCTGGTGTCTGTGGCGTGATGTTGGCGCCATTGGCCTGCCTTCTGGGGCAGGCCTGCGCGGTGCTTTTGCTCTTCCTCCTCGGCCTCTCCGGCCCCGGCGCCGCGCCGCTCTGCTCGAGCCTCGCGCTCGGCCTCGGCGCCGCCGAGTGCGCCGCCTCGCACCCCGAGCTGCTCGCGCGCCTCTGGCCGCGCCCGGCGTCACAGCGAGCGCTCCCGTTTGGAGCAGCGAAGCTGCCCGCGCTCGTCCGGTTCGGCGCGGCGGTGGTTGTGCTCGGCGCGGCGCTTCTCATCACCACCGACCTCCTCCTCTCCCACGACCACGGCCACAGCCACGGCGGTGACCCGAGGCACAGCGCCGCCGGCAGGCCGGCGGCCGGCCCGTCCGCCACCGTCGTGTGGGTCGCCGCGGCGGCGGCGGCGTGTGGCTCCACGCCCAGGGCGGTGCTGGAGGCGAGGGGTGTGTGGGCGGCGGCATGGGCGGCGGGGGAGGGGCTGCCTGTCTTGTTTCTGCTGCTCGCCGTCAGCCGCGCAGCGGGCGACACGGCCGCCTCTCTCTCGCTGCTCGGCGTGGCGGCGGCGCGGGCGGTGCCGCTGCTTGCGGCAGACGGGCGGCGGCTCATGCTCGGCTCGGCCGGCGGCGACGGCGAGGCGAAGTACGCCGCGCTGCTGCAGCGCGCCGCCAGCCTGCCAGACGTGACTGCCGTGTACGACGCGGCCTTTTGGCCGCTCGACGAGGAGGGCGCGGAGGTGGGCGTGATCCGCTGCACGCTGGCGCCGGGCCGCGACGCCGCCGCCGCCGCCGAGGAGGTGCGTGCGGTCTTTGCCGCGGGCGCGGGCGCGTCGCTGAGGCATTTGACAGTGCACGTGGACGAAGGGTAGAGTCTAGAGAGAGAAATAAATAAATAAAAACGGACACCTCTCTACTGTGAGATGGGTAAAAAGGAGCAGGTCCCCGCCCGTGCGATCTTTGTGCAGGGTTCTTTGTGGGTGTGGTCGGCGACTAGCCGGGGTCGTCCTCCCGATGCGCGATGGGGGCGGGACACTATCACTAGCCTCTAGCCTACTCACTAGCCGTCTTCCACACATTGGTCCCTCGGCGCTCGGGTTCCTGCTGCTCCTAATCTGTTCTACATCCTCCTGCTGATCTCCGCAAAGTCCTGCTCCCTCCCTCGTCTCGCCCTGCGCGTCTCCGCTGGCATGAAGAGGGCGTCACCGGCGGCTGAGTCGATGCATGCACCCGCCGCCGACGGAGTGCGCCGCGTCGAGGCAGGTGGCGAGCTTGCTGTAGGTGCCGTCGCTCTGTTTGGCGTTAGCGACGCCGGCCAGAAACTTACCTGGCACGTAGGTGGCGCCTACCCTGTCCGAGGCGCACTGCTCGAGCACAAGCCGGCGAGAGAGAGAATGAGACTTTGTCGCCTTCGTTGATCTCGTCAAGCAGCCCCGACGCAGCAACGGCCAACGCCTTGGCAGACGTCAAACACTAGCATGTGCGGCATCATGCGGCCGCGGTGAGGAAACGTCGACTCCTCAACGGCGATCGGCAGCGGCAAACCAGCAGGGATCAGGACAGCGAACAGCATGGCTAGTCAAGCGCGTTGTGCTGGCCCGAGTCTTCTCAGACTGAACACGTCCCTCAGCCACCCCCGCAGCTCTGGGACGATCTGAGCCACAATCCGTAGCGGGCCGCGACCCCGCTCTCGGGCCGCCTCGGAGCACACTCGGATGGCCGCGGCGGGCAAGCACTGCGCCTCGAGCCACGTCCGACTCGCCCACACCGCGGCGAGGCACGTCGCTCTCTCGGGCCATGGCGTAGCCCCCCTGTGTTAACGGTCAGGACCGTGGGATCCTTGCCCATTTCAAAGGCATGGAGCTGGCGCCACACCCCTGCCCCCCGTCTCCCTGCCACCCCGCTATCCATCGGGAGCCAGCGATCCGGCGAGAACCACAGCGAGTCCGCCATCCCGGCTAAGTGGGCCGACCTCTCCATCGCGACTCCTCCCAGCTCCGTTTTACACGCAGCGCAGCCATACCGAAAGTGGGCGCGCGTGCCCGGGCCGCCCTCACACAGGTGGCACGCGGCTCGAGGGCGAGCCCCTTCCAGCCGCACTATCCTCCGGATGGCCTCAGCGTCCGGCCCGCTCTGCGCCTGCAGCTCCGACGCCGTGCAGCTCATTCTCCCTAGCGTGGCCCGCATGGCCTCCTCTCCAGGAGCGGGCCCGGGAGCGCCTTACGCAGGCCGGCCGTCACTTCCAGGTCGACTTTCCCGTCAGCCCCCAGTCGCAGGAGCAGCGTCGCCCTCCTATCCCCGGAGCTCGGCGCGGCCTCGTCCTCCTGGAGCAGCCTCTGCGCCTTGACCGCCTCGACTCGCTCGCCGATCTGCTTGTACGGGTCCCCGAATAGCGGTCTTCCGCCCCCTGTATAGTAGTAGGTCGCCCTCCTCTGCGGCTCCATCGCCCCATAAAAGTCGAGCTCCCTGCTCCGCCCACGTTGAACGTGGTGTCCCGCCAGTAAGTAAGTCGCACCCGTGGTTCAGCCTCGCTAGGAGCCCCGTCCTGCCGTCCCACCGTTGTCTCTGGCCACGGTTGTGGTACGCCTGCTCCCACGAGGTGACAAAGTCGATGCCTCGGTCGTTGTATCCGTCGATCACCCGGCCCTGCTCTCGGAGTACCCCCGCCTCGGACGTTCTAATCTAACGTGGTGTACCTGTGTTAGTGCCAGTGCGCGCCAGTCCCGTGCCCAGTGTTGTGCGAGGGAGTTTGGTTGTAAAATTCTAATCTAATTTCACTTGTCCAGAGGCGCCCGTGGGGACCCCACAATTCCCTTCCCCCCTCGGAGGGGGCCGGACGGAGGCGTACCCCGTGGGCCCCGCTCTTTCCCTCGCATAGCGGCCACTCTTCGGATCGCTGGTCGAGCGACCCGGGGGATGCCCCGCGCGCCTGACCCAGGCGCGAAAACGAATCTGCGAGGCGAGGCCGCTCACGCGGCCCGATGGGGAGGAACGGGGCGAGCCCCCTCCAACCCACCCGCGCTAGGTCTCGGGGGACGAAGGGGTCACACCCGACGACCTCGCTCCTCGGGAACTAGCCGGGGCAGTCGGAGAAGTGGCAACTCCGTGCACTGACGGTCGGCCGCCAGAAAACACGCCTGCGTGGATCGCGTCACACCAATCCTCGCTACCCAACGCGGCCAAAGGATATCCACCTCGAGAACCTCGAAACTTGTCCAGATCCGCTTCAATAAAGAATTCAAAGGCCCCTGCAGTGACAGCGCCACCTCTCGCCTCGCCGGATCAAGATGGCTTCCGCACCAGATGATATTCTTGGACCGTCCCTTCTGGGGGTGTTTGATATGAGCGGCGTAATGAGCGCGTTGGGCGACGCGCGGGAAGACGCATGGGCTGAGCAAATGGCCGGCGTGGCGCGGCGCAACCGGCTGCCGATGCCGTCGCTGACGGATGAAGAGAAGCGGGACGCCGCGCGGCTCAAGCGGATGATGCTGGAGCGTCTCGGCTTCAAGCACGGCTCAGTGCACCACCTGATCGAGAACGTCTTCGCTGAGTGCGTTGAGGCAGGCACGTCTCTGAACGACATGACATTGAACGGCGCATTCCTGTCTCTGCTCGACACGCACGTCGCCGGACTGCGCTGCACCGCTTCGCACCGAATCCTTGGACTCAATGACGAGACGGCGCGATTCACCATTTCTCTGCCAACGGTCGGTATGGAGGGCGTTCGATTTCTCGTTCCACAGTTCGATTTTCGCCAAACCCTGACCGACATGACCTACATTGATGCCAACTCTCTCTACCATCTGCGCGAGGCGTACCGCAGCCGCTTCCACGTCGCTTGCCCGATGCGGGAGCGCGTGCTTGTGGCGTCCTCGAGGTCGTCGGCAATGGGCGGCGCGTTCCCGAGCCCAAGCCCTCACTTTCCGCCCGGCACGCCTGCGATGGTGGCGCTCGTGGCCCAGCACTGCCAGCCCGCGCCTCCGAGTCCCGCCGTGCCTGAGGTCAGCCCGGAGGGGTTTGACATCACCTCGGTGCGCCACTTCAACTCGATCATGCGCGGCGTGCGCGTGGACCTCCACTGGCCACGCATGAAGGTGCTGCTGCTCGCCTCGAGCCACGACGCCGAAGACGGTGAGCACTCTGGCCTTGAGCGCCTCAGCTCCGAGCTCGTCTCCCACATCGGCCACTTTCTTCTGCACGGCCGGACCGACCTGAGCGGCTACCAGGTCGTCGGCACGTACGCGCTTCCCTGGGAGGAGCGCCCCGAGCACAACGAGGTGATGGCGACATACGGCCACGGCATATGTGACGAGGCCCTGCCCGTCCCACTCGCAAGCGCTGCCGCGGCCGCGCCGCCGGCGGCCGCGGCCCGCGCGGCCGTGCTGCGGCACGGCCTGGCGCACACTCGCCTCCTCGATCGTTGCATCGATTGAGGGCGCTTCCGAATCGTCGATGTGAAAGTGTCCGTACCAATCCGAACACTCTGTGGACTGCCCCCTCGAGGAAGTGTCGAGCGTGGATCAAGAGGACGGCAAGTATGAAGTAACGGGCAGTGCCAGCATGCCGCCACCCCGCATGGTAAATAGCTTCGTCAGAGAGTCGAGCGAGCAAAAAGTCGCCGCACCTGCTCGGCCTTGAGTCGCAGCTTGCCGCCGCCGTGGCGGGCAGGATGCCGGCCGGCCCGCGGCCGCTCCCGCTGTAGGGGGGAACCGATGAGACTCGCCTCGCCCCCGCCGCGCCGGCGAGCTGCGAGGGCACCATCCCAACGGCTGCCGTCCCTCGGCTGGCGGCGTGAGAGGCCTCGGGAGGGCTCACCGAGGGCCGGTTCACGCGCTGCAGCGTGTAGGCACTACCAAGGTCCTCTGCGCTCCGCCTCACCGTCGTCTGCCCTGCGTCGTCTGGTGACGGGTCCTCCATAGTCGGTTGAGGTCCGCCGCCCTCCTCGTGGTGTCGTGTGCCTCTTCCCAACGTTCCCTCGGCGGCCGATGCCGTCTGCTCCGGCTCCCCAGTCCCCGGGTCTGCCCTGCTCTCGCGGCGCTAGTTCTAGAGAGAGAGAGCGGCGGATAAAAGATGGAGCTTACTTGTTGCTGCCGCGTTCACGGCGTAGAGACAAGAGACCGAGCGTATACGTTAGAGCCATATATGGAGCGAAGGGTCACAACACATGACATGCGGAACGGTGCGGAGCGCTATGCACGGTGCACCTCAGAGCTCAGAGGTGACGAGACAGCGACGGGAGTGACTCCCAGACCGCCTCAGGCTCGCAGTGTCACAACGCGGCCAGAGGGAGGAGGAGGAGGGGGAGGGGAGGCAGGGGGAGAGCCAGACGGCGCAGCCACGGCCATGCCGCCGCCAGCGCCGCCGCCAGCCCGAGCCCCTGCAGCCGCCGCGTGGTCCGTTGCGCCGTGCGCCACACCTGCGCGTAGCTCAGCTGCGGCCGCTGCACGAGGACGATTGCGGCGGGCGAGAAGAGGCGGGGCAGCAGCTTGGAGAGCACGAACGTGCGCAGCAGGAAGTTTGCGAACCAGCCGGCCTTTTGCAGCGGCGACCTCTCGCGCGTGATTGGGTACTGGTAAGGGAAGCCCACCTGCGCGATCCTCGCCACCGCCTCCGCCTCCGGAGCGGCCGCAGCCTCGTAGGCGGGCAACGCGGCCTATGGGACGCGTCATGGACGCGTCCAACCATGGAGGCGTGTCGAAGGCAGCCGTCGGGCGGACAGCGCGTCCCGCAGCTTCGCCATCGGGCCGTCGCCCCCGTCAGCGCCGTCGAGCGCCTCGCCGAGCATGACCACGTCCGAGGGAGATATGGGGAGATATGGGGAGATATGGGGAGATATGGGGAGATATGGGGAGATGAGCGCCTCGCCGAGCATGACCACGTCCGAGGGAGATATGGGGAGATATGGGGAGATATGGGGAGATATGGGGAGATGAGCGCCTCGCCGAGCATGACCACATCCGAGAGCGCCGAGTTGACTCCCTGCCCAATGTCGGGCGGGAAGGCGTGGATGGCGTCGCCCACCAGCACAACCCCCGCCTGCGGGGGCAAAGCGGCTCCGAGGCGGCTCCGACACGGCTCCGAGACGGTGCAGATGGCCTCGAGCGCCCCGCCCCGGGAGCTGCCGGCGCAGTATATCTCGGCGGTCTCTCGGCGGTCTCTCGGCCTTCGGAAGGAGGAGCTGCTGGCGCGGCGAGTAGCAGGGCGCGGGGAAGGCGCCTAGAGAGAGGACACGTGTGGAGAGGATGGCGACCAAGCCCGAGCGGCGAGCGGCGCGGCGCGGAGGAGAGGACCCGGTGCGCCCGCCGCAAACGCGGCGGCCTCGTCAGCGCTGACGACGTCATCGACCGGGAGGTGAGGGAAAGTGGCGCGCAGCCAGCCGAGCACCTGGCCAGACCACCCGCAGCATGAAGCGAACCGGAAGCCCGTCCCCGAGTCGGCAAGCATGCAAGCCGCCTCCTCCGCCGAGCCGAGGGCCCACACTGGGTGCTCCGGCGGGAGGATGACGTTGGCAGTGCGCGGGAAGGTCGGGTCGGCGACAGGAAGAAGCCTACGCGACATGTCAGGGACGGGTCGTGGACATGTTGTCTAGGCAAGGTCGGGTCGGCGACTGGAAGCAGCCCGAGGCGGGTTGGAAGTGTCGAGGAGGTGTCTAGGAGGTGTCGAGGAAGTGTCTAGGAAGCAGCCCGAGGCGGGTTGGTCCGAGCGGCGCGTCCGTGGCGGGACGCATCGAGTACGCCTTGGTTCGGGTCCGGGTGAGGGGGCAGGGTGAGGGTTCAGGGTGAGGGGCAGGGTGAGGGGGTGGGGGTGAGGGGGGGAGGGCTGGCATCGAGCAAGCCTTTCGCGGCTGCGCGGTGACGGAGGCGTTCTTCGGGTCGAGGCGCAGGTCAGGCGGCATCTTGATCATCTGGTAGCGCAGCCCGCTCGACGGCGACGGCAGCACGACCGGCGTGTACTCGGCAGCTGCGCCGCTCCACTCGCCGCATCTTTGACGCACGAGCGACTGCAGCCCGTCCGCTCCGACGAGCAGCGACGGCGTCAGGCGCAGCTCCGAGCCGTCGCTGCAGCTGGCCACCACCTCGACTCCGCCGTCGGGCGTCTGGTGCAGCTCGCGCAGCTCTGCGCCGAACCGCGTCGTGACGGTCGGCGGCAGAGCGCTGTTGAGCAGTGCGAGGAAGCGGGCGCGCGGGATCCAGTACGAGGGCCGGTCGCTCGGCTCGAGGATGGGCGGCACCGACTCCTCGCGCTGGCCTACAGGAAAGGTCGAGGAAAGGTCGAGGAAAGGTCGAGGATGGGCGGCACCGCCTCCTCGCGCTGGCCGTCCGGCAGGCAGCGCGTCACCGTGTAGTTGAGGCTCGACACCGAGGTGGCCGGCGACGCCAGCTCCTCGGTGAGGCCTGCCGCGTCGGTGAAGCGCTGGCCGCGCCCGTCAACCAGGTAAAGATATGCACGCTGGGGCTCGTATGGGTTCGGTTCAGCCCGCTTCTCGAGCACGGTCACGTCGAAGCCGCGCTGAGCGAGAATCAGAGCGGTCGCCAGGCCAGCAGGGCCGCCGCCCGCTACGACAGCCGTATTCGCCTCGGCGGCAACTGAGCGAGGAGACACGGCACGAGGGCTGCGAGCAATGGGAGAGGCCGCAGCCCCGGTGGGTAGCGCACGCTGCACGAAGGCTGAGGCGAGGATTGGGAGGGTGGCGAACGCCAAGCTTGCCGAAGCGCAGCGTGCCATCGCCGCCGACTTCGGCGATGGCAGCCAGGGCAGCTGCTCTGGGAGTCGCGAAGTCTTTTTCTTTTGCCTGTGAGAGAGGTCTCTCGCCCCGTCGAGCTGACGGCGGGCGCGCTGAGGTCGCACGCCAAGCCAAGTTATATGCCAATGGCATGCGATCTAGAATCGGCTCACGCGCCTCTACTCGCATACGCTCACCCATAGAATTGTCACCGCCTCTACTCGCTGGCGGAGCTGTCTGGAGCTGGGGCTTTGGAGGCAACGGCCGCCTGGGCCACGGCGACGAGCAGGCCCAGCTGGAGCCGACGAAGGTCGAGGCCTTTGCTACCCAGCGCGTCGTAGCTGTGTCGGCTGGAGCGTACCACAGCCTCGCCCTCACCGCCGACGGCACGAGGCCGGGGAGCGGAGGTGGCAGACTCCCTAGGGTGGGCGACGGCTAGCGCATCACACTCCTCTCCTTAAAATCCCTGTGTGGTGGCGGCGTGCCGTCCTCCCATCCCTCCCTTGGGCTGTCTGTTTTCTTTCTTTTCTTTCAGGTGGCATGAACGCGACCGTCTGGAGAGAGAGTGAATGGGTGAGTGTGTGTGTGTGTGTGAGTGTGTGTGTGTGTGTGTGTGTGTGTGTGTGTGTGTGTGTGTGTGTGTGTGTGTGTGTGTGTGTGTGTGTGTGTGTGTGTGTGTGTGTGTGTGTGTGTGTGTGAGGAGAGAGACTGCTGGTTGAATTTCAATGTGTGTTTTCTGGCTCTGATGTCTGTAGAACTCCCTCCTCCGTCAACGCACAACGGCTGTGATAACCACAACATCAGGCAGCACAAGTCGACGCAAGGCGGCGTGACCGCCGAAGAGGAAGTAGTGAGGACCGCCCAAGCTCAACGCACTCCAACGCACAATTTTCAACATGGCTGTCACGCGCCCGCCTGCCTCGCGCCCGCCTTGTAGCACAGCACAGCGGTCTGGTTGAGAAACATCCACAGCACATGCTTCACCTGGCGAGGGGAGAGCGCCGAGGACGTGGCGTGGCGGTGGCCTGGGCGTTGACTTGGCGTGGCGTTGCTCCGCAGAGCTATCTCGGTAACGTCGGGCCTCCTCTCGGCCCTCTCCCCCCCCTCGGCGGCCCTCTTCTCCCTCGCGCCTCGTGGGTGACCTCAAATGTGAACCCCTCCCCGATCACGACAACCCACGACTCGTTGTACTTCTTGTCCATCGTCTCCTTGACGAGCCGCGCCGCCGCCTGCGCGCAGAGGGCACGTCACGACACCCCGTTCGCGCCTCGCACCGCACTGAGCGACATCGTCCCAAGTCTCGGCGGGGCCGGCTGCATCACCTCATAGTCTCCCTGGAACTTTTCGCACGCGGTGATGACAATATCGACAGAATCCTGCCGCATCTCGTCGTTCATGTCGCAATTCTGTCGCGCGTGGGCGTGCTCGCGGCGTCAGTCAGTCAGGCTGCGCCCACTCCCACCGAGCGAGCACTGCGAAAGGGCCAAAAGGGCCGAAACACAGCCCGCACCCGTACGAGCGCATAGTTCATGCTCTTGCGGAGGTTCTCATAGGCCTCCTTGTCAGAGATGACCTCGCCCTTGTCCGCCATTCAGGCAGGCGCTCGCGAGCGCGAGCGAGCAAGCCGAGACCGCCCGTCAACGTTTCACCGCGTAACGGAGCGCTGTGAATAGGAGGTTCTTCTCGGTTTTTTGCACGCAATGTTTTGAGCAGCGAGTGGCGACTAGCTCAACGCGCTGCAAAAGCGAATTCTTTTGTTCTCAGAATTCTTTTGGGTACTTCTTATGCCGCCACCGCTCATGAGCGGTGCTACCCCGCTGTACGGCTGCACTCAACCTCCTCTCGTCGACGACTGGTTCCTACTCACGGCCGATGAGCGGCGCGAGCGCGAGGCCGCAGCCGCTGCCGCCGCCACCAGCAGCAGACGAGCGCTGCCCGCACCTGAACACACAAAGCAGCCGGCTGGCGTCGCCGGAGCGACGAGCTCCAGCAGCCAGCAGCGAGAGGAGGCCGCTCCGGCGGCCGCACAGCCGCTGCCCGCGGAGCCCTACCCTCAGGCGCCGCCGACGCCCGCCACCGGCACCCGCACCTCTCTAGATCCGGGCGGCGGAGAGAGCGCGCGCCCTTAATCCCGCAGGTGCTGGAGTCGGAGGAGCCCGACATAGTTGCGTACGGCGGTGTGCGTCGCCCGCCTCTTCCCCGTGCCACCCGCGCAAATGGCGCCACCCGCAACCGACCGGCGCACCCCTCTCTCTGATGGCGCAGGCCAAATGGTGCCGGACGACTCGAAGCCGCACCTCGCCGACCACCAGTTCGTGTCGCCGCAGACGACGGTGCTGCAGGCGCCCACACCGCTGCGGTACGACTACTGAGCACAAGGGTGTGGTGGACAGTGACACTGTGAGACACTCTCGTTCTACTGGATGTCGTGTGTACGTGGGGGCGGGCGGGTCGGGGTGGTCCGCGACGACACACGAGCATTTTCTGCGGCCGTCGTGAAGCCTTACAAACAGTATACGGAAACAAGACTCAAGAAAGAAAGAAAGGAATGACCAACAGTCATTCAGACAAACCCAAACGAGGGATGGGGGAGGAGGACAGGGTCCACACCAGCACGAGCAATGACACCCGCAGTAAAATTGAAAAAAAAATTCGGGCTATCTCGCTGGCCAACGAGCACTCGCTCCACCAACTCCAGTGCGCCCCTCACCACGGAGTCCACCGAACCTCACGTCTCGCCCGCGGAGTTCCTATCCGTCACCTATTACCACGTCGCGGCGATCCTCGACCCTGCCGACGAGGCGAGTCGCCAGCGCCGTCTTTGCGATTCGCTTTGCCTCGGTGGCAGGCTCCGTGTCTGCGCCCATGGCCTCAACGGTGCGATTGTGTATATGGCGCTCACCTCATTGTGCGTATGGCGCTCACCGCACCGTGACAGCAGCGGCGGCGCCACCGCACCGCAGGCGCACTGACGGGCGGCGCGGAGGCGGTGCGGCAGTACATCGAGTGGGTTGAGGAGCGGCACGAGCCTCGCCCGCAGCGCGCCATCGACTGGAAGCTCGCTCCCGTCTCCGGGTCCGAGCTCTTCGTCGGCCTCAGCGTGAGAGAGACGGCCGAGCTCGTCACTCTCAGCCCCGGCTCTCCCATCTCTCCGCTCGAGCACACGGCGCCGGGCCTCTCCTCGCCGCACACCGCACCTCCGGCCATGTCCGCGAGAGATGTCCGGCCGGGGAGATGCCCGGTAGGCGCCGCACGTGTCTCCGGCCGACTTCCACCGCCTCCTCGAGGAGGAGGCGGTGCGCCACCCGTCCGCCCCCCTTTCCCTAGCCCTCTCCTAGACCTTTCCTCGAGCCGTCCTGCAGGCGGTGCGCGACCCGTCCGCCCCTGCCGGCAACCCTCCCCCTCTCGTGCTGCTCGACGTGCGGAACGGGCGCAGACGACCGGCGGCGTCGGCGGTCCGGAGACAAACAGAAGACGGGAGCTCGGAGATGGCATGTCTAGGTACGAGAGCGCGATTGGCCGCTTCGAGGCGCCTAACGTCGCCACGCTGCGCCCGCCGCTGCGCCAGTTCTCGGAGCTGCCGCGCTGGCTCGAGGCGCGACCTCGGCTCGATCTCGGCTCGATCTCGGCTCGATCTCAGAGCTGCCGAAGCGGTTCCGTCCACGGCTTAGTTGTGCCACGGAGAGTTGCCTCCCCTCCTGACCAGATCTGACCCGTCTCCCCCGCTGGCTCGAGGCGAACGTGCATGTCCTGCGCGGGCGGCGCGTCCTCATGTACTGCCCGGGAGCCTAGAATAACGCACTCCCGTACCCCAACCAGCGCCCGAGAGGCCACGTACTCCGCTGTCTTCACCTGTATTCACCTGTATCAGCTGCATCCGCTGTATCCGCAGCCCTCGTACTCACGCGCTGCTCTGAAGACTCTGCACAAGACCGTACTCCCGCCCCGAGGCTGGCGCCGTATACGCGTAGGCACGGGGGGCGTCCGGTGCGAGGCTGCGTCCGTACTGCTGCGCCAGATGCGCGCCAGAGGCGGCGAGGGAGGCGGCGAGGGAGGCGGCGAGGGCTGCAGCGAGGCCGGCGGCGGCGGGGAGGGGGAGGGCGAGGGCGGCGTCTACCAGCTGCGGGGCGGCATCGTGCGCTACCTCGAGGAGCACAGCGACGGCGGCTGGTACCGCGGCTCCAACCTGCTCTTCGACCCTCGCCGCACGCAGCGGCCGTCGGCTGGCGGCGGCGGAGTGGTCGGCGAGTGCATAGTCTGCTCTGCCGGCGCGGACAGCTACGAGAGCGGCGCGCGCTGCCGCCGCTGCCGCGCCTTGCTGCTGCTCTGCGCGCGTTGTGCACTGGCGGCGCAGGCAGCGCCGCGCGTGTGCCTCGGTTGCGGGCCTCCTACAGCAGCTGCTACAGCAGCTGCTACAGCAGCTGCTACAGCAGCTACGGCAGCTGCTACGGCAGCGCTCGGGCCTACGGCAGCATTTGGCTCGCCGGCGGTGCCTTGTCGGGAGAGGCGGCGGCTGGTGGGAGGCGATGCTCACGGGAGCGGGTGGGATCAGGCGGCGCCCCGCAGGCTGCGGCTGCTCTGTCTGCACGGGCGCCGGCAGAGTCGCTGCGAGATCACCCGAGAGCACGCTGAGATCACCCGAGATCACCCGAGAGTAGGTACCGGCAGAGCGGCGACAAGATGCGCGGCCGCACGTCGCAGCTGAGGAGGAAGCTGGCGCGAGACGTAGCCGAGATCACGCCGAGATCACGCCGAGACCACACGCTGAGAGGACGCGAGAGGTGAACGAGGCAGCTGAGGAAGGACGGCGGCGCGAGTGGAGGTGGCGCGAAAGGTGGGC